TAAGATATTTTTGATTAAATCTGAGAGCTGCTGATCACTCCTCCATAGGCTTCTTAAGGGATCGAAACTGGCCGGCCCAAAAGTTATGTTAAAATAGTCCGAGTGACTACAATGGCTCAATCTTAAGTTTATCAAGCGACGAGAAAACTTTTTGTGCGCAAAAAAACAAACAAAAATAACGACTTTATTCAACTATTCATTTCCTTCTCTGTGGGCCGTGATATTTCACATAGTGAAACTACGTAAACTTCTAGGTTGTACGTCACGCATCACACACATGACCAGCGTCGGCCAATAGTGAGCCTGCGTGTGACGTGCAACACAGAAGCTTTGCGCAATATCACTACGTGAAATCTCACCGCCCACAGAGAAGGAAATGAATAGTTGAATAAAGTCGTTATTTTTGTTTGTTTTTTTGCGCACAAAAAGTATTCTCGTCGCTTGATAAACTTAAGATTGAGCCACTGTAGTCACTCGGACTATTTTAACGATGTCTTTCATAACTTTTGGCCCGGTCAGTTTCGATCCCTTAAGAAGCTTATGGAGGAGTGATCCAGCTCTCAGATTTCATCAAAAATATCTAAATTTGTGTTCCGAAGATGAACAAAGGTCTTACGGGGTTGGAACAACATGAGGGTGAGTAATTACTGACAGAATTTTTATTTTTGGGTGAACTAACCCTTTAATTCTGCTTGAAATGTCACACTTGTGCCTACATTGACATTGATATACTGTATTTGGGGTGTATTTTAGTATCTGTATTAAGCCACACCGGATGTGCTTTACATTTCAAACCAGCAAAGTTTTTAAACACTTGTTTTAGCGCATTGGTTGATACGGTGGTCTTAACTTGCTACCAAGAACACATATAATATATAATGCATAACACCTGCTTCCACCTAGTATTAAATTCCCCAATTCTGTGACAAAGACATAAGAGATGCACCCCCAAGAAATACCTGCAACCCCACTTTAAACCCATTAGCTGAATTTGAAGGTAGGTTAGATGACCAAATGTAAGCTTTTCTCTAAAAAACAACAACATAAAAAACAGGATTTTGACAGTTCTTGTTGTGAAGAACCATGGGGTGGGAAAGTGTGTTTTTTTAAGGCCACATCTGTAGGTCAACAGTCCCTTTCTCAAATTAATACGGTTAAGCTGTGATGTCATGTCAGTCATCGGAAATTACCATTGAACACAGCGCCGTTTTCTTTATCCACCAGGATGAGAAGCATCCAATTTGACAACATTTTGTTTTTACTTCTGAGTGACAGGCGTAAGGGGATGATAGCGCAGAACGTGTTTTTGCTATTAAAGCGCGAGACGCAGCACAACTGTCACACGTCCATCTACCACATGTTTACATTTGTTCACACATAGCAGTGTTTAATTTACTGGTATCAAACTGATTTACTGGCAAAGTTACAACTTCTCATACTGGAAAATTGCCAGAACTGATTTACCAGTATTTTTGAAAAGATCCTGTCCACACATGATTTCTAAATGGTAATTTACCGCTATTTTACAAGTGTTGTCAGTCTCTCAATTCAGTGACCACACTGGTTAGTTCTGAGAGAGGTTGGCAGACTCTTTCATGCAAAAGTGGCAATAGTGAACGCTGTGCAAACACCCTAATCCAGGGTTCCTCAAATCCGGTCGAGGAGGGCCACTACCCTGCAGAGTTTAGCTCAAACCCTGATCAAACTAACTGTGATTGTCTAGTGATCCTGAAGACCTCGATTAGCTTGTTCAGGTGTGTTTTGTTTCTTACCTCTTTGTCTGAAAGTTTTGACTAGTTTTCGGCATTGTATTGGCTCCAGAAGGTCCTGAAGATCTGACACCTCTACTAAGGAAAGGTCCTCGGACTTCTCCACACCCACCACAAATGACAGATGATTGACCACATTATGAACTTTGTTACTGTCCAACTCTGGGAGAATTCTTTTGATTTCCTCTTGGATTGCGCCTGTAGGGGGTTAAAAAGAGCATTGCATCTGTGAGGACTAAGCTTAAACCAAAAAAGCTGCACTTGAACACACAGAGAGGACTACAGCCGACTGTCAACTAGCATGCGTGTTCTGCGCCTGCGTGTAAATGAGACAACTATTTGTCTATTTCTGCAGATCTATTCGTCATTTATAAAGGGAAACCGACGCTGCAGATGCACAAACAATAAACAAAGCAGCGCGTCCTATCGGTTTTGAATTTCAATCCTGCTGAATCTGATTCACTAAGCTGAACAGCCAATCAGAGTTCTCTCTCTCACTTAAACATCTCGAATCGGCCCAAAAAGAGCCAGTCGGGCTTTAGAAATCAGGAATGGTCAGAAAACATTGTGCTTGATACGTTTTTCGTCTTTAAACCAAACTTGTGTCTTCAGTCAACAAAGTTTAAATCCGTCTGGTTGGTGCGCTTCCCATAATGTTAACGCATTCGGTCAGTACTAGGCGGAGAGTAGACACTCTTTTGTGGCTGTTTGAACTCATTCGACCACATGAGCGTTTACACTGCAAAAGCAATCCGGTCAAATGCATTTTCGACTACTTCTGAAAGTGGTCAAAAGTGGACAAGCTCAAAAAGTATTAGACCCCGGCCCGTTTACACCTGTATTTAGCGTCGTCCACTTGTAATCAGCCAAAAAGCATCTTAATACCAGTTGTAAACAGGATTTCAGTATTATCTTTCCATATATGTAGCCACAACTTTTGCAGACTACAAAAGTAGGGTTTCATGATGGTACAGTCATTAACTATCTATTAACCCTTTACGTCAGGGGTGCCCAATCCTGCTCCTGCCGACCGACTGTCCTGCACAGTTCATCTCCAACCCTAAATCAAACACACCTGCCTTTAATTTTCAAGTGATCCTGAAGACCTTAATTGTTTCAGGTGTGTTTTATTAGGGTTGGAGATGAACTGTGCAGGAGGACAGTCGGTCGGCAGGAGCAGGGACCCCTGCTTTACATGGTAATAAATCATTTAAAACACATAGGACTGGTTTCACAAACAGGGCTTAGATTAAGCCAGGATTAGGATATTTAAGAAGCTTTTATAAACATGCCTTAGAAAAAAAAACATTACTGGTATGCATCATTAGATAAAACAATGGCACTGACATATTTTAATATAAATCAGTGCAAGTTTCTTTCAGTTTCTTTGAGGGACAGAGTTGTGTGTGTATGAGGTCAGCTGTGATGTAATAACTATTGTACATCAGAAGAGGTGATGACCAAATAAATACACAAGACTAAAAGTTCTCTCACGGCATACCTTTCACACTTTGATTATCTTCTTGGTCTTCCTCAATTCTTTCTGAAGAGCAATCTTCAAATGCCTCCTCCTTGATCATAATCATGTCAGGCTCTTCTTCCAGCAAATTTACTGGCTAAAGGGTTGAAAGTAAAAAAGGGAACTAGCTGACATTTGGTTTGATCTCCATATACTTCATCACACAGCAGCATGAGAGCATGAGACCAACCTCTCCTATGATGACTGCAGGCTCCAGGTGTGTGTCGTCCTCCTGCTCCCCAAGCTTTGACTCCTCGTGTCTCCAGAGGTTCATGCACCAATCCTTACCGAAGACATTGTCAATGGCAGGGCGATGTCCAGTGTCTGTTGAACATGTGGACATTCATTATTAGGCGGGTATAGAGACAGGGACACAACGTGGATATTTGAACCTCCAGTGTTTAGGTTATCAACACACCCTCTTGCATTTAACATCAATATATCTACAGATTTGTGCATCAGAAAAAAAGGAAACATCTTAAATATTACCTGTAAGTCCCGGAGCTTTTGTCCCTTTCATCTTTCCAGCGGTTTTCCGAGCAGATTGAAGTTCACTTTCCAGAAAATGACATTTTTTTTTCAGAGATTCATTTTCGCTTGTAAATCGCGTGATCTCTAGTCGCAGGAAAGTCGAATTTTCCTCGAAAAGTTTGCTTAATTCCACAACAGCTGTTTTCGCCAACGTTTCCATTATGGATGTTAACTGTTTTTGGTACTCAGTGGTATTCATGATGTCCATTGTTTACGGGGAACTTTAAAAAATAAATACCCGTCCTACGACCCGATAGCTCAATGAATGTTTTACTACAGATGTTGAGTTATACCTCAATCAAACAATGGCGGTATGTTACCTTTACTATTTATGAAGATAGAAACAAAGCATAGCGTTTGGCAGTAAAGGATCATGGGATGAATTACCGTAAACCACCGTGTAGAGGCGCCTGTCCTATAGTCCACAGGAATGCAGATGTCTCTTTTTACTTCAGGAGGTTTGGCAAACAAAACCCTTTTTAAAGGCATGAAATGGATAGATTTTGCAAGTGAAAAGGCTTGTCAAACTAAGGGCCATTAAATTCGGCCACACTTTAGATACATCTCACTATTAACTACGACTTTTGCCTTAATAAACTCCTACTTACAGCTTATTATTGGTTAGTAAGGTAGTTGTTAAATTTAGGTATTGGGTAGGATTAAGGATGTAGAATATGGTCATGCAGAATAAGGCATTAATATGTGCTTTATAAGTACTAATAAACAGCCAATATCCTAGTAATATGCATGCTAATAAGCAACTAAACTTAAGTGTTACCTTAAATTCTCATAAAGCTTAAAAAATCTAACATTTTTGTTATTGTTAGTGAAAAGTTTAATGTGAAATTCAAAAGTTTAATATGAAATTGATTGTGAAAGGCATTCTCTAGTTGAAACGCATGATTTGTGTGTGTATGTGATTTTGTACTTAATGCATCAATTGAAAAATACTCTTAAACAGTTGGTCATCTTATTTTCACTTGTTTGTGAAAATACTACCACATTTATTTAAAAAAAAAGACATTTTATTCAGGAGAAAAAATTGAAAATACTTCAGGTACTGCAACAATGTTATAGGTTAAGTTATCAAAGTTAGTTATCAAAAGGTTACAGCAATAAATCCATAGGTCTTGTTCTCCAAAAGTAGCAGAAAATTGGACACAAGAAAACATTTCACAATGTTCACAAACAAACAACCTTTACTATCAGCATTTTCAACCACTTTTAATACATATTTTGTTCAATAGTATCATGTTTATCCTTCTGTTCAACAAACATATAGTATAATGACCTAGGCTGCATTTCCCAAAAGCATCGTATGGTCTCTACGATCAACTTCGCTCACAAAACGCAGCCCTAGACAGTAGTTTACTCAGTAACAATTCATTTCTATTCTAACTAACACATCGGTGTGATTTAAGAGCACTTTTGTACGCGTATCTTTTCCCACATTCCAAACAGCTGAATGGCTTTTCTCCGGTGTGGCTTCGGAGGTGAACGTTCAGAGAAGATTTTTGAGAAAAACTCTTTCCACACTCCACGCACGTGAACGGCCTCTCGCCAGAATGAGTGCGCTCGTGAGTTGTGAGATATATTTTTTGAGCAAACCTTCGACCACAAACTGTACAGACATAAGGTTTTTCTCCGGAGTGTGTCCGCATGTGTTTTTTCATATGGCTTAAATATTCAAAGCTTCTCCCACAGAACACACAATTAAATTTCTTCTTTTGTGTAAAAATATGGTTGAAATTCCGGTGATTTGGAAAAAATCCAACATCAGCACTGAAATCTGACCCTGCTGTACAGTCTCCATGTGTCGAAATCGTTCCTTCAAGAGCTTGTTCTTCGGCTTGCGGCTGTTGCACGTTCGATTGGACTTGCTCATCTGAAGGTACGGTGTATGTGATAAAATCCTCAGAGCTCTGGGCAACACAGCTCTCATCACTGGTCATTGCTGGACCTGCAATTCAATAAACGACACATGAACATCTGAATATAATAAGAGTTAATAATAGCAGCTGTTCTCAAGTTCTTTCTCCACAAACCTCTCAAACTGCTCCTTTGGTCTGCCTCACGTTTACTTTTCCCAGAGCAATCGTCAATCTTCAGCGTCTCTTCTTTTATCATAATTACATCTGGTTCTTCATCCAGCAAATTTACTGGCTAAAGGGTTGGAAATAAAAGAGGGAACTAGTAAGCCGTGTTATGATTGTTTTTAAGAGAACTCCTTATTCAGCAGTACGTGAGACCAACCTCTTCTGTCATGGTTGAAGAGTCCAGGTGTGTGTCGTCCTCCTGCACACCAATATTTGACTCCTGGTGTCTCCAGAGGTTCATGCACCATTCCTTACCGAAGACATTGTCAATTGTGGGACGATGTCCAGTGTCTATTGAACGTGGGCATTTAAAAAAAGTACAATTACATTTAAAAAAGGTAGCCATTGAGAAATTTTATTTACCCAATACAGGCCAAAAGAACCTGATTATAGTCTTAAAATATAATAATATTTCAACCCAGTCACAATCATTTTGGAATAGATCAACCCAAAGAACTTTTGCACCATTTCTGGAGATCAGATCCTAAACAAATGGCCATCAACTGTAGAATGGGAGCGGTAGGGGACCATCTGAGATCTATTTTAGACAATTGGCTGTCTGAAGTTCATTAACATACAGATAGCAGCCGTTACAACAGGAGTGACTTCATTTACATTAGGGGTAGTACTGTATATTTTAACTGTTTTGAGTTTAGAAAGTTCTGAGTTAATTCCTACTCCTTTGAACCCAAGGTGTACTTTGTCGTCTTCGTCGAGATCTTCAACATCCTCGTAATTTTCTCTTATAATACTTTCTTTTACAACATGTATTGTGGCAAATCTATTCCAATTGTTTTGGGGTTGAATGTCAAGGGGGGGGAATTGACTAATAGATGCCTTATAAGCAAATATCACTTCAATCCAAATCCTCAGAAACAACTTAATGATTAAAAGAAAATAAAGTTGAGCTTCATGAAGCTAGATGCCATTTATTTTTTAAAGGGGAGAAATAAACGGCATTACAAGCCTAAACAAAAAGTGAGGGACAATTTCAGTATTTTCAACAAGAAAAAATTATTATAATAATCTACAAAAAAACACAAATTGAAGAAAGTATGTTATTTAAGAAACTTTGTTTTATTTTATCCAAATGTAATGACGATGAATAGGGATTGGCAGATATTTAGATGAAAAACAAATACAACAAAGCCTTAAAAGGATAGTGCACCCAAAAATGCAAATTATGTCATCATTTAATCACCCTCATGTCATTTATATGTGACTAAAAGCCTAAATTTAATCTGTCCTGTGTATGAAGCGATTGTGTCTCTTCAGAAAATTTGGATTAAACCCCTCAATTCATATGGATTAGTTTTACAAGCTCTTTATGAACTTCTTGAAGCGTCAAGTGGTAGTTGCGTAGCTGTTAATGGAAGGGACAGAAAGCTCTCAGATTTCATCAAAAAGATCTTCATTTGTGTTCCGAAGATAAACGAAATTCTTACGGGTCTGGGATGACATGAGGGTGAGTGAATGATGACAAAATGTTCAGGTCCCCATTGACTTCCATAGTATAAAAAAAACATACTATGGAAGTCAATGAGGACCAGAAACTGTTTGCTTACCCATATTCTTCAAAATATCTTCTTTTTTGTTAAACAGAAGAAAGAATGTTATGCAGGTTTAGAATAACTTGAGGGTGGGTAAATGACTTTCATTTTTGGGTGAACTATACCTTTAACTAAAACAAAGGCCTTATTTTCAAGTTTGTGCATTACAGAATTAACACAGAGCCAATCTATCAAACCATGTTCACTTAGCTGTAAGTTCTACTGTAAATGATACCAGTAGTTCATAGGAACCGAAACCTTTTCCAGGGAACAACCAGGACACACATTAAATGGACATGAAAGTCAGCAAACAACATTTCTCAAGGGCACAGGGATCATCTTTTGTAAAGCATGAACATTCAGCGTTCAGTTTACCAGCTCAGATATTCAATTCAGCTTCTCATCATCATGTAACTTCCCATTTCTCATTTAATTCAGACAAAATTCACAGTATCAGTCTGTTTTTATCACGAGATTTATAAATCACCTCGAAGTCCCGGATGGCTGAATGGATCTTCTGGTCCCTTCATCTTTCCAGCGGGTTTCCGAGCAGACTGAAGTTCACTCTCCAGAGAATGACATTTCTTTTTCAGAGATTCATTTTCGTTTGTACATCGTGAAATCTCTAAACGCAGCAGCAACGAATTCTCCTCGAAAAGTTTGCTTATTTCAACAACAGCGGTTCTCGCCATAATTTCCATTATCGATGTTAACTGCGTCTGAAAATCGGCGGTATTCATGATGTCCATTGTTTCCGGGAACCTTTAATGTTACAAGAAAATTCTTATTATAGCCGTTTCTTCATCTGTCGCTATGTTCTCCACTGTCTTTTTGTAGAAACACACCATAAATAGCGTATGACCGAAAAGGATTATGGGATGAATTACCGTAAACCAACGTGTAGAAAAGCTTGTTTTCAGAATAACATTGATTCATTGTATACATAATAGCACGAAACGAATAACCGATTCACGGAAACTGTGTAATTTGAAATGATGACAGAATATCAAAGTTGCTTTTCCAATTTACTTGCATTCTGAAAAAGAAAGAAAAAAAGTCAAAATATGCTCAAGGTGTTTGTTTAAAGTAAAAGAAAACAAATAAGAATAATGAATAAATAAAACAAGTTTAATTGTTTTTGAACATGTTTTGTATTTAATGCTGATGTGATAACATGAATTATAGAAAACTGTACATTGTTTTTTAATTATCAAGGCCTGTGGTCATAATAATGAAACAAATAAATAGCTCAAACCAATGCGGAGTTTAAAACCAATGTCAAACAAGACCACACTTTCCTCAAGCTCATTGTCATTCATTAACTGATGTTGTTGCAAGACTGACAAGACAGGTGTTTGTTAAGATTAAACTTCGTTGTGAACCTTTTCCCACATTTAATACAGGTGTAGGGTTTTTCTCCGGTGTGACTTCGCAGATGCATGTCAAGAGTGCATTTCTGAATAAAGCCTTTTCCACAGAGCGGGCATCGATACGGCTTCTCTCCGGTATGGGTGCGCTGATGGGTGTACAAGTGTCCTTTCTGAATGTACCTCTTTCCACAAAGTGTGCACCTGTAGGGCTTCTCACCTGTGTGGCTCCGCTGATGTATTGTAAGCTGACTAAAACACCTGAACCACTTTGAACAGTAGGTGCAAACAAACCGCTTGTCCCCTGACATAGTATTGGCACTGCATGTTCTTGTGGACTTTGATGCACTCAAACTCTGTGTGTGACTAAATGAAGTGTTTTCAGGTTCAGATGTGCGCTTCATAGACAACGGCTGGTTCACCATCATTTCTCCAGGTGAGGAGCTTTTGTTCAGTGATTCTGATTTAGACGGGACTCTCACAGATGCATTTTCTCGACTTTTTCTGTCAACACAAGGGACAATTTTGCGAACGTCCTTGGTGGGCGACAGGCTCACGGCTTCACCGCAGTGGGTTCCTGTGGTTAAGTGAAAGTCATGTAAGTGTACTGCAGATGGAAGGAATTATTCACAAGCATTTGCTATTAAAGGGTTAGTTCACCCAAAAATGAAAATTATGTCATTAATGACTCACCCTCATGTCGTTCCAAGCCCGGAAGACCTCCGGAACACAATACAATGCTGAATAAAGTCGTAGTTTTTGTTATTTTTGGACCAAAATGTATTTTCGATGCTTCAAAACATTCTAACTAACCCACTGATGTCACATGGACTACTTTGATGATGTCTTTATTTCCTTTCTGGACAAGGACAGTATACCGTACATACATTTCCAATGGAGGGACAGAAAGCTCTCGGACTAAATCGAAAATATCTTAAACTGTGTTCCGAAGATGAACGGAGGTCTTACGGGCTTGGGACGACATGAGGAAGAGCCATTAATGACATAATTTTCATTTTTGGGTGAACTAACCCTTTAATATTATCCACCATTATACAACAGTTAGTTCTGGTCTTACCCACTTCACTGTTGTCTTGACCAATCCAAACATCTACTTCATGCAGCTCCTGCTTTATCATACCTATTGGCTGGTTGACCTCACACTTCTGCTGTGGACTGTCCTTTGACATTTTGACATCACATTAAATCTTCTATTTGTATAATATATATAGAAACATTACATTTTTATCAGCTATTGTACTCCATGATGAAGAGAACTTACTTGGTCTTGCTGAATTACTGTTGGGCTGTCTCTAAAAAGAACCTTATTGCTACACCGGTTCAAATGATTCTGCATCTCTTCTTGGGCATATTCACTGAATGAATAAATAAATAAAAAAAGGGTTACACTTTATTTTAAGGTGTCCTTGTTTCAGTGTAATTCTACATTTAAGTACTGAGTAATAATAATTAACTACATGTACTTACTATAGGGTTAGGTTTAAGGTTTGGTTGAGTTACTTACATGTAATATGCATAATTTTTAGTTATTACAATAGTAACTACATTTCACTTTTTTTTTGTATTGTTTGTTGAGCCTTTGTCCAAAGACAATTTTCTACCCCTGTGGCGATAGACAATAAAGTTTTTGAATTGAACGTGTAACAAGGACACTGTAAAATAAAGTGTTACCAATAAATTTGATTAGTATGATCCATGGACATGAGATCATATATATGTTATATACACTGCTGGGTAGTAACTGATTACATGTAATCTGGATTACGTAATCAGATTCCTAAATAAGTAAGTACTTGTAATTAGATTGTTTTAAAAGTCTCATAATCAGATTACAGTTACTTTTTTATGATTACACAATGGCAATACATTGTTCATAATTTATCGATTTTCCGTAATTCATCGTTTCTATCTCAAAAAAAATTGTATAGGTTCGGAAAAAAAAAATTCGAAGGGGGAAATTGCACACACAGAGCAACCACTAGTCCGTTGGCTATAATCTGTTAATGGTCACATCTTTTTGTGTTGAACTGTTTTCTTTTGATCAATGTGATAAACGAGTTAGGGCAAAAGTAATCTAAAACGTAGTCTGATTATATTACCGGTACCTAAAATCTGTAATGTAATTACAATGACTAATTACTAATTAATTACTAATTTCATCATGTAATTTGACTACAGTTTGTAGGTAATCTACCCAACACTGGTTATATAGATAAATCGAGCTAAAGTTTTTGGACACATTACTATTTTTAGTGTTTTTGTAAGAAGTTTCTTATACTCATCAAGCCTGTATTTATTTGACCAAAAAAAAAAAACAGAATAAAAACTGTAATATTGTGAAATATTATTGCAATTTAAAATAAAGGTTTTCTATTTTAATATACTTTAAAATATAATTTATTCCTGTGACGCAAAGCTGAATTTTCAGCATCATTACTCCAGTCTTCAGTGTCACATGATCCTTCAGAAATCACTCTAATAATATATGATGATTTATTATCAATGTTGGAAACAGTTGTGCTGCTTTTAACCTGTGATACTTTTTCAGGATTCATTGATGAATAGGAAAAAAAAGAACAGCATTTATTTAAAATAGAAATCTTTTCTAACAAAATGAATCTTTAATAGCACTTTTTATCAATTGAACACCTTGCTGAATAAAAGTATTAATTATTTTTTTTTAAAGAAAGAAAAAAAGTGTATATTGTTACAAAAGATTTCTATTTCAAATAAATGCTGTTCTTTTTTCTTTTTATTTATCAAAGAATCCTGAAAGAAGTATCACAGGTTATTAAACAAATATTAAGCAGCACAACTGTTTCCAACATTGATAATAAATCATCATCATATTAGAATGATTTCTGAAGGATCATGTGACACTGAAGACTGAATGCTGAAAATCCAGATTTGCATCACAGAAATAAATTACATTTTATTTTATTCACATAATAATATTTCACAATGACTGTTTCTTTACTGTACTTTTGATCAAATAAATACAAGCTTGATGAGCATCAGAGACTTCTTTCAAAAACATAGTAATGTGTCCAAACTTTTGACCGGTATGATTGCATACATGTGCCTTATGAAGAATATGCAATTTCCCGCATCATAATTACCGAAACAAAAGCGCAAGTACCTCTTGACCGGTGTGGAGCTCTGTGTGAGTGTTTGTCCAGTGTCCTCGGTCGAGCTCAGTGTGTGTCTCAGAGAGCAGATTTCACTGCGGCTGCGGGTGAGCTCCGACAGCAACACTTCACACTCCACATCCACCAGTCTGCTGATCTCCAGCACTGCTGTTTGCACCAGTGTTTCCATGATGGAAGATAACTGTCTCTGGAAGGAGGACAAAGTGGACAACATCTTCCAATATTTCCCCAAACTCTTGAATGGAAGACACTAACTTTTTTTTCCCTCAGATATACAGAATTTGCATCTAAAATAATAATAATATTTGTTTATATACTTTAACTTAATAATAATAATTAAAATGGTTCAACAGTGTGGTTCCCTTTCCTACTATTTCTTGTGCGTGTGTAGATCAGTGTGATTGATTTATCTAAATATGGCTCACTAGCGCCGTCTACTGAAGTGGAGCGTTTCGAGTGAGAGCCACAGACTGTTATTTATTTGGAGAAATTTCACTTACATATTGTGATAATATAATAAATATGGTCACTGCATATTTTAACATCTGTACTTCATTATTTTATTATTATTATATTATTTGTTATATTACATATCCTTCAACTGCACTGTGATTGTGCTTATACAAGTCACATAGCCATGCACAGAAGTAGATTATATTAGAATATATGGAAAATACAAATTATACTATATTATTATATTATATTATATTATATTATATATCTTTCAACTGCACTGTGCTTGTGCTTATATAAATCCCACATAGCTGCCATGCACAGAAGTAGATATTAGAAAATAATTGAATAAAATGATAATACAAATCATATATAAAATTATCAACAACAATAACAAAAAAGCATCAGACATGCAAACTAATCGAAAGGATCATTTTCAGACCTGTGATTCAGTTGCTACGTGACAGCTAGACTGAATATATGGAAACTTCTATGATGGAAACCTCTATGAGGGGATTGATTCAAATCAAATGAGCACTACATTACCCAGAATGCAACAGCAAGCAACATTCGCTGTGATTGGATGTTCGTCAGATCGCATGAGCAGGACCAGAGACGAGAACCTCACTACTACGAAAACATTCCACGGTGAGTTCAAAGTCATTTTATCATTTATTTCAGCTTCCATAATTTAGCGTGGAAGACACAGAGCATCATTTTGTGCTTTTATTGCCAGCGGTTGACTCTTATTAGTGTGCACTCATACCCTGGTCAAGCTACTGTTTGACGCATGTATTGAGTCCTGATGTGTCAGTTGGCTTCATATCTGAATTGACTAGCATTAATCATTAAGCTCCTTTCCTTAATTTCAGATGTCTGGACGTAGAGTGGTGGTTTTCCCCTCTGTGTCCGAGCTTGGACCCACTCTTGCTCAGCTGGTGTCCTCTCGTGCAGAGAAAGCCCTAAGCTCAGGAAGAAACTCCTTCTCTCTGGGTCTTTCAGGTGGGAGTTTGGTTTCCATGCTGAGTAAGGATCTTCCTGCTGTGGAGAACCTGGACTGCAGCCGATGGCTTATCGGCTTCTGTGATGAGAGACTCGTTCCTTTCAGTGATCCTGAGAGCACTTATGGCTTATATAAGGTGAGACTGCGCAATCTGTTACCCTTAACCTGTAGAGCTCTTTTAGTAATGGAGAAGTCCATTCATTCAGACATGTGACTGGCAAAACAGCCATAGAGTTGCAGCACAGGCCTGTCAATTTTCCATCTGTTTCAAGCCACAAATATTTAGCTACCCTCATAAAATTAAAAACAAGGAAAGAAAAGAAACAGATATTTGAACGAACTGCCAGTTTTTTTTGACATGCTGTTGCTGGGAACTTTAATCAAAATCACTTCCCCTCCCTCTTGCAGCAACTTCTCTTCTCTGATGATGCGTTTACTGGCGCGAGGGCGGGATCAACCTGTCACTCACATGAGATCGACCAATGTAGTTTAAAGGGATAGTTCACCCAAAAATGAAAATTCTGTCAGTAATTACTCACCCTCATGTTGTTCCAACCCCGTAAGACTTTTGTTCATCTTCAAAACACAAATTAAGATTTTTTTATTAAATTTAAAGGCTGGATCACTCCTCCATAGGCTTCTAAGGGATTGAAACTTGCCGACCCAGAAAAGTTATGAAAGACATCGTTAAAATAGTCCGAGTGACTACAGTGGCTCAACCTTAAGTTTATCAACCGACGAGAATACTTTTTGTGCGCAAAAAAAACAAACAGAAATAATGACTTTATTCAACTATTTATTTATTTCCTTCTCTGTGGGCCTCGAGTGAGTTCACATGGTGTAACTGCGCAGCGCTTCTGTGTTGTACGTCACACGCATCATCACACACATGACCAGCGTCGGCCAATAGTGAGCCTACGTGTGACGTACAACACAGAAGTGCATCAGATTTCATGGATCCAGGACACTATTTCAGGATGCTTCAGGGAACTTTATCAGGATGCATAGTGTCCTGGATCCATCAAATAACTGGCCGTTAAAAATAAAAATCTTGGAGGATTTTTCCTCATTTTTTTAAATTAAGGCATTAAGATTAATTTCCAAAAGATGAATTTTGTATTTCTCTTTTTAGTCAACTTTAGCATGGGTGTGTTCACTTATGCTAAGCACTGTATAAAATACATTATGTATAAATATATAAATGCAAATATTTCTTAAATATATACATGCATATGTGTGTATTTATATATATCCAAAATAATTCTACACAGTACACACAGATATATTATGTAAACACAAACTTTTATTTTGGATGCGATTAATCGTTGCCCAGCACTAAAATAAATAATTAACTGGTGATGTCACTTGACCTATGAATACTGATTGCTTTTTATATCTTACAGAATCAATTGTTTGGGAAAATCAACATTCCAGAAGACAGGATTTTGGCTATAGATCCGTCTTTACCTGTGCAAGAATGTGCTGATGATTATGCCGACAAACTGAGCAAGGTGCGATTTCAGTTCATAGACAAAATAAATTGAACTCATTTGATGTTTTTGTTTTGTTTTTGTAATTCATAGCTCTTAATATAATTTTGTCATTTTAGGCCTTTAGCCCAGAGCAAATCCCAGTTTTTGACATGCTCTTGCTGGGTATGGGACCAGACGGACACACCTGCTCTCTCTTTCCAGATCATCCTTTATTACAGGTCTCAGATAAATTCATAATAAAGCAGCATCAGAGTTAATTTTCAGTAGATTAATGTAATAACGTATGATGATGATAACATGCTAATAGGAATATAACTAAAATAAGATTTCCGATACAACATATACTTTTAGTTTAGCATTGTTAAATCCCACTCATTATAGAATCCTGTTTATAATTTAGTTTTGAATTGTATTTTATTGGCTTTCTTTTTTTAAAGTGTCGATTTATCATTGTAGGAAAGCCAGAGGACAGTGGCCCCAATCTCTGATTCCCCCAAACCACCCCCTCGGCGTGTCACTATGACATTACCCACAGTTAACGCTGCTCGATGTGTGGTGTTTGTGTCAACAGGGGGCAGCAAAGCTCCTGTACTCAAGGTAAGAGCCTCAGAACCTGCTGTGTATCTACAACGATGAATGTTGCATTGATATTCATTTTTTATCCTGTGACTGTCTGTAATTCTGTAGCATGTATTGGAGGGTGGAGAAGGGCCCGCACTTCCGTCAGCTCTGGTGGCTCCTAGACAGGGAGAGCTCTTCTGGCTTGTGGACGAGCCGGCGGCTGCCTCGCTCACGTCTCCGGTGGAGAGGCCAGGTCCTGGGGCAAAGCTCTGACACAACTTCTAGAAGCACTTTCTAGTATTCTTATGGAGTCCTTAAAAAGCACTGTGTTTGCAAAATGTTTTTCTTCATAGCACTTATCATAACTGTAATTACTGCAGTTATCGTTATTACTGCAAACTGTAAAAAAAAAAAAAAAAAAAGAGAGAGAGATCTTTGAAGCTTTCAGAATCTGTCATAAATTTTTTTTTTAAACACAGTTCTTACCATAGCTTTATTGTCATGACAATAACTGCTGTGGAAATGATGGTTACCATTGTAAATGTTTGTTAGATGCAATAAAAAAAGACCAACATTTCTGAATACAATTTTAGGAGGTTAATAACCATTTCTGAAATTTTCCACTTTTGTTGTATTTCATTGTGTTGGGAGTGCAAAGAAAGAAAGAAAAAAAGCCATTATATGGTGTTATATTCAGGGTTATTATAGTTAACGAAACTAAACCTAACTAAAAGCATAAACAAATTATTACTTAAAATAAAAAATGTAACTTTATGTATTAAAATAACTAAAACTAAAATAGACATAGAGAAATAAATACAAAAAATATACAAAAACCTAATAAAAATTATAAAAATGAACTATAAAATTACTCAAATTTCAACTAAAATAAAAATGAAGACTGAAAATATTCAAGCTAATTCATACAAATGATAATACTGTCTCAAACATACTAAACCAACACGGGTTATATAAAAATTAAATGTAAAAACTTGCTAATAGACGGTGCACTGGTATTACTATGAATGGGAGAAAGTGCAACGTGCAATATGGTGGAATAAGTCCCGCCTTCTAAATAAAAGAGCCAATCAGCTATTGGTAAAGTCATTGCGCCACTGCAGCTGCCATTAGAAACACTGCTTATGACTGCGCATGTGCATTGTCTGGTCCAGCATGAAAAGTTTGTAGTTTGCAGGTTTTTTTTTTTTTTTCATGATTTGAGCGTTTAAAAACTAAATTTATGAGACAGTTGTCAGATTTTATTGGTGATTTCCAAATATAAAATTGAATCGTGAGCTTAGTGAACAGCTTTGGGGAATTAAATGTTTGCCCATTCAAAGGAGCCATACCTTCATGACTGAAATAACTGCCCGAGAGGCGTTTCAAAGATGGCCGCTGAGTGAAATGGCTTGCCTTAAAGGGACTTTGCTAATATTTTCTTTCATTGTTGAATACTGTTACAACGTTAACTTTATTTTCAGTAATAATAGTTAACATTTTATAATTTGACAGATATTGCTGTAATATACAGAGCACATAATAGGACATGATATTTTTCAAAGCTTGTGTGTGCTCTCGCAATAATTTTGCGTTCTCCCGAGAATCTTTGGGTTTGGGGAGAATCTTGCAAAACTTTTGCGTTCTCTCTCAAAACCTTTTGTAAGTTCGGACAAACACTTCCTGTTTAATTTTCCTCTGTTAAAGGTTTAGTACAGTACAGAGCCCCTAAAAGGAAATAGGGAAGGAAAACAATATGAGATGGGAGGGGAAATTATTATGTGTCAATGCTTTTGTGTTCTCTTGCAAACGTTTGCATTTCCCAGAGAAACTTTGCGTTCCCTCGCAAAATGTTTGCGTTCCCCCGAGAAAGAACACAAAGGTTTTGTGAGTGAATGCAAGGTTTCTTGGGGGAACACAAAACATTTGTGAGAGAACACAAAAGCATTGACTTATTATTTTTCCTCCCATCTCATATTTTTTTCCACCACTTGTCCCTTTAGGGACTCTGTAGAAATAGGTACCATACTGCTAATGCCACAGAAATTGATGGACGGGTTAAATACGTGGAAATAAATTCATAATAGAATCCGCAAAGACTACTAATTTGTTAAAAAGATTGATAATGGCTTATAATTGAAAGATATTATGGTAACACTTCACAATAAGGTTTCATTTGTTAACATTAGCTAGCTAAAGTATTAACAAACATGAACTAACCATACATAGCCTACTGTATTTGTTAAAATGTGTTATTATATGTATTAGTAAATGCTGAAATTAACCTTAACTAAGGTTAATAAAAGCTGTAGAAGTGCAGTTCATTATTAGTTTATGTAACTAAACCTTATTGTAACGTGTGATACACCAGAATATGAAATGGGTCCCTCCCCTTTAAACGTCAGCGTAACATCCCCTTTAACTCGCTCGCCTCGTCTTACAACTGCAGTGTTGTCAATGCAGGCTGATTTTGGTCGGCGGAATTATTTAAACTAAAGTTACCCCTTTTTAACTTTCTACCTCCTCGTGAACTGGGTGTGACTCTGGTTTATCAGTAAGGGATTATATGCCTGTTTGTAAAGAGTCTGTGCTGCAGAATGCTCTGGTTCGTGTTGTTCGTGTCGGTGCTGTGGTGCAGTCTGATGAACACTGGACCAGCTCAAGGATACTTCCACGAGGAGCGCTGGAGCCCGGAGTCTCCTATATTAGCTCCCCGAGTAATGATCGCTCTCATCTGCAGGAACACACAGCACTCTCTGCCGTATTTCCTCGGAACTATTGAGCGCCTCAATTACCCCAAAGACCGAATAGCGCTCTGGTAAGTGTGTGTGTGTGTGTGTGTAACGGCGCGTTCTGTTTCTGATGTCATGATGTTAGAATCTCTGAACACGTCATAATGCCCGTCTCTGTGTTGTTAATATCACTTAATTTTGATGTCTGTGAGCATCTGTCTGCCAGCAGCTCAATATGGAGGCTTGAAGGGACAGACTGGAGAGATAGAGAAAAAAAAGATGGGAGGGGTTTCTCCAGACTCATTCATCCCTACCAAGATTGAATTTATCCCGTAAATGGTGTCAGTTACCAAGAACGCTTCGAACGTCTTGACCTTGATTGAATTGTCATATATAATGGCAAGGGAATATGTGTTCAACTCCCTATTTGACTCTGCAGAAACAGGCAGAGTGAACAATGTTGACATTAGCTTAGATTTAGAAATGTTATTGATCAGCTGTATTAAAACATAATTAAATTATTACACGTCTGGAATACTTAATTCTGATTGGTCAAACTCTAAATTTAGAGTTTAAATGTTTTAGAATAATAACTGGTATCATTCTAAAAACATTTTAACCAAACGTTTGACCAATCAGAATGAAGCATTCCAGACGTTATAATTTAATTATTTGGTAAGTAACCATGTTAGAGGAATAATAATGTACAGTCAGATGGACAATGATTAGCTCATTGTGTTGTGCATTATTACTTATACATGTGTGTGTGTGTGTGTGTGTGTGTGTGTGTGTGTGTGTGTGTGTGTGTGTGTGTGTGTGTGTGTGTGTGTGTGTGTGTGTGTGTGTTGTTTTAGCGTATGGGTCTATTAAAAGTCTCTAAAAGTGGATTAAGCTATTTTCTTAATAATAAAAAGCTGTGATCTAGAGGTTAGTGCATATGCTCCAACAAGCTGATAGATAACTTGTGTCATTTGGTGATCCTATTTCCCTCCTCTTACCTGCACTATTTACTCTGTTTTATGTATACCGTATCAACAACAGGCCAAAAAACTTTACTGTATATTTCTTTATGTTGTAATTAAGTCCATCCAAATTAATTGGTTTCATTCATATGAAAAACATAATTTATATGACTGAATTCACCTGACTACATTAAGTTACACAAGCAAAAATAATAGTTTAGATTAAGTAGAAATGGCTTTTAAGGGTAACAGCTGAACTGAAGGGGAAATGTATGTCCATAAACATTGTAGTAATGCATTACAATATTGCGTTACTCCCTAAAGGTAACTAATTGCATTACTTATGGAAAGTAATGTGTTAAGTTACTTTAACAATCCTTTCAGCTGTGCAACCATTCAGGAGAATAAAGTTCAACACTTACTTTAGCAATAAAAAAAAACACACAAATGTGATGTTTTGCTTATTAGAATGGTTGAATTGAATTATCGAAGGTCAGCAGTTAAGACATTCAACATATTTAATTAATTCAGGTTTGTGTAATATTCTGAGTTTGCATTTCACTGTTTTCATTCATTTTGAGTAATACTGAATCTGTTTTTATGAGTGATACGAGTAAATGCTCACATTAGTCTAGATCTACAATAAGCATCATGTTCACACACACAGCGCACACAACACTTCTGCACTTACTCCTGATTTCTCTCAACATGGGGACAGGAGAGCTGTCAGTCTATAAATGAGAAAACAAAGTAACTTGCACTAGCCTACTTATGTGAAAAAGTAACTCAAATATTTTGTTGTAAATTTAAAAGTAATGTGTTACTTTACTAGTTACTTGAAAAAGTAATCTGATTACGTAACTCACATTACTTGTAATGCGTTACCCTCAAAACTCTCCATAAACCTTAATCAGCATTTTTTTTTTTGTCACCCATATAATCCACCAGGGGGCCTCAAGATGACATTTGTATTTTAATTAATATTAGCCTAAAATATTAGCATAATCAAACTCTACATTAAAATGCAAAAAAATACGCATTAATTGCAAGTGTAATGCAAATTAAATGTATTTATTATGTAATATAATACAAATAAAATAAAAATATGTATTTTCTCCCCTCAATAACTGTTGTTTTAATTGAAGAACACACAGTTCTTGAAACTTCCAAAGTCACACATGAATGGTGGTTAATTAATTTAATATTAATACGCCTAGTTTCTGTTAATAAAAAAGTCAGTTTGAAAGCATGCAACTTGATCATAAAAAAAAACAGCAAAAAAATACCGGACAAGGCCTAATATTGGGAAGCCTTCGAATATTGTGTTGGACAACTGGGGACCTTTGAGTCAAAGCATTGAGAACCACTGTTTCAAAATAGACTTTGTAACAATCTGGCTTGAATTCCTGTCCTGAATCCTGTACTGTAGTAATTGCTGTTGGCCAGAGTTGTGTTCTCACAGGTTTGGATGTGTAGACTCTTAGGCATCGCAGCTGTGCGCTGCTGCAGGAGACGCATCTGGCCTGGTGAAGTCATGTTGTAATGAGGATCTCTAGTCTTGCTAAGACAGCCAGAGAAAAGAAGAAGAAGAGCTCATCTGTTTGCTTTATCTCTGCTCCTGTGTTTCTATGATAACCAGATATCTTTGCAGTTTCACTTCTCTTGTTCTGCAACCCATTTAGTCTAGTTATGCTGTAAGGAAGTAGTTTAATTTAGAGCTTTTGTATTTCTTGATTTATTTTCCCTATGTCTGGTCGAAATGTACCTTATGCACTGAAAGATCCTCTTAAAATATGGTGTGATACTAGTGGAGGTAATCATAAGCTTGGGCCAGGGTTAACTCATGTAATGTTTAGTTTTTACCCGATGTTGTTCTTTGTAGAAAGTAAAGTGCCCATAATGAGCACCATCTCTATGTTTCTATTTCACTAATGACAGGGTAGCAACCGACCACAATATTGACAACACTACATACCTACTGCGAGACTGGCTCGTCAATGTACAGAAACTCTACCATTATGTGGAGTGGAGGCCGAAGGAGGAACCAAGGTTTGCCATGTTTCTTCACTTGTGATTTCGTGGAATTAGTGTATTTGTGCATTTCCTGGCATTTCTCTTACTTATTCAGAGAATATCATAATGAGGAAGGGCCAAAGGAGTGGACGAACGAGCGCTACGCCTACGTCATGAAGCTGCGGCAGGCAGCGCTCGAGTCTGCACGAGAGATGTGGGCTGACTATCTCATGGTGAGACTGCTAGTCCATTCTCTTTGTTAGGACCATGAATCTCTAAGTTGGTAAATAGAGACTTGTGGCCATTGGTGTAATTCATAAAAATGTGTGTTTTCCTCCGAAGCAACTTCCAAGGGGACTCTGAATAATTCATGCTATTAATTGAAAAAAAAAAAACTTCTGGAATGGCAAAATAAATAAGGATTGGTTAGTTTAATTTAATACTCAACTCTCTGAAATGCTTGATTCTTATTGGTCAGTCGCGACATTACGAGGTCAGTTATTCCAGCAACGCTCATCCGAGTATTTGAGGCCAGCGTTTCTTTCATATCTCTCGTATCACATTAGCCTGGCTCTGGTTAAGACCATTCTCAGTTGTAACTGAGTTATGGTCTTGCAAAGCGTCATAGACAAATCATTTCCAGAGGGGCGTCACCAACGGACGTCGCGGATAGACCTAAACCCAATCAGAGCGATGAAGGAGATGACGAATGCAGAGCGGCGGAGAAACATCTCCGAGTGTTGTTCTTTGCTCGGTTTTTAACAAAAAGGAAACGTTCAAATCGCTTAAAACAGACGCGATAGCTGATTCGAACGAGTGATGTTCGACGGCGGCATCCATCTTTGTAATGTAGGCTACAAAATCTGCTTCAAAATCCCAGCGCTGTCGTCATCGTGTAAAGCCCGCCCCAACGTTTCTGATTGGTGCCGCGATTTCGGCGGATTGGAAATGGGCTTGAATGAGCTCTTTGCCAGACTAACTTTCAGAGCAAATCTAAATTTGCCGGAAGTTGTCTGGGTTTTCCCTGGCTAGTATCACATACAAACGCAGCTGAATGTGCCATCTTGTGCCTTAGTTCTCGACTGTACTGTTAAAAATTCTCAGTATGAATAGTAAGCCTGTGGTAAAAGTGTTCATCTTGTTGCAAGAGCAATTGTTTTCTTGTTTTTCAGATGATTGATTGTGATAATCTTCTGATCAACCGAGACGTCTTATGGAAACTAATAAATGAGAACAAGACAATCGTGGCACCAATGATGGAGTCTCGCGCTGCCTACTCAAACTTCTGGTGTGGAATGTCATCCCAGGTACAGGTCTTGTGTATATACACTCACCGGCCACTTTATTAGGTACCCCATGCTAGTAACGGGTTGGACCCCCTTTTGCCTTCAGAACTGCCTCAATTCTTCGTGGCATAGATTCAACAAGGTGCTGGAAGCATTCCTCAGGGAGTTTGGTCCATATTGACATGATGGCATCACACAGTTGCCGCAGATTTGTCGGCTGCACATCCATGATGCGAATCTCCCGTTCCACCTCATCCCAAAGATGCTCTATTGGGTTGAGATCTGGTGACTGTGGAGGCCATTTTAGTACAGTGAACTCATTGTCATGTTCAAGAAACCAATTTGAAATGATTAGAGCTTTGTGACATGGTGGAAGTAGCCATCAGAGGATGGGTACATGGTGGCCATAAAGGGATGGACATGGTCAGAAACAATGCTCAGGTAGGCCGTGGCATTTAAACGATGCCCAATTGGCACTAAGGGGCCTAAAGTGTGCCAGGAAAACATCCCCCACACCATTACACCACCACCACCAGCCTGCACAGTGGTAACAAGGCATGATGGTTCCATGTTCTCATTCTGTTTACGCCAAATTCTGACTCTAACATCTGAATGTCTCAACAGAAATCGAGACTCATCAGACCAGGCAACATTTTTCCAGTCTTCAACTGTTAAATTTTGGTGAGCTCTTGCAAATTGTAGCCTCTTTTTCCTATTTGTAGTGGAGATGAGTGGTACCCGGTGGAGTCTTCTGCTGTTGTAGCCCATCCGCCTCAAGGTTGTGCGTGTTGTGGCTTCACAAATGCTTTGCTGCATACCTCGGTTGTAACGAGTGGTTATTTCAGTCACTGTTGCCCTTCTATCAGCTCGAACCAGTCTGGCCATTCTCCTCTGACCTCTGGCATCAACAAGGCATTTCCGCCCACAGAACTGCCGCTCACTGGATGTTTTTTCTTTTTCGGACCATTCTCTGTAAACCCTAGAGATGGTGGTGCGTGAAAATCCCAGTAGATTAGCAGTTTCTGAAATACTCAGACCAGCCCTTCTGGCACCAACAATCATGCCACGTTCAAAGTCACTCAAATCAACTTTCTTCCCCATACTGATGCTCGGTTTGAACTGCAGGAGATTGTCTTGACCATGTCTACATGCCTAAATGCACTGAGTTGCCGCCATGTGATTGGCTGCTTAGAAATTAAGTGTTAACGAGCAGTTGGACAGGTGTACCTAATAAAGTGGCCGGTGAGTGTATGTATGCAATGCTTCATGACACTTTCTTCAGAAAAATGGAAAAAAATGTCTGTATTTTTCATCAATCTATACACTAGGGCTACTATAAGCGAACTCCTGCCTACATCCCCATGCGTAAGCACGTGCGTAGGGGTTGCTTTGCTGTTCCCATGGTGCACTCGACTTTCCTGGTGGACCTGCGGAAAGAAGCTTCCAGAACGCTGGCTTTTCACCCGCCACATTCAGACTACACCTGGGCCTTTGATGACATCATAGTCTTCTCTTTCTCAGCCCGCATGGGAGGTGTGTGCCCTCAAAATTAGAGGCGTTCTAAACCTTCATGACTTTCTTTCTTTTTCACACATGAATTGGCACCTCTGAGTCCAGACCTTAAATTCACCAAAAAATGATGCACCTCTTGATGGAAATACATTTATGAGGTTTGGACTCAGAGGTGCCAATTCATGTGTGAAAATGATTCTTCATGTTCCCTCTCAACTGTTCTGTCACAGTTTGATCCTGATGAATCATTGTCATCCTGGAATATGGCTATGATGCGTCTTCCTACATGGTTGTTTAAGAAATGAAAAGCTACACACTCCATCAATTAGGGTTAGAAGAACTGATGCCAAACATATAACATGCTAGAAACACAATAGCACACTAATGATCCAGTCATAGACTCTTAAGCATTTGTCTATTTAAATCCAAACAGCTATTTTATTTTATTTTTGGCCGGGCAGTGTATTTTAAAGAATATTGACAATGAAAGTCAATGGGGTCCAAAAAACGTTGTTCCGCAGAAGAAAGAATGCCATACGGGTTTAGAAAGACATGAGGCCGAGTAAATGATGACAGACTTTTCATTTTTGTGTAAACTACCCCTTTAAGAGGATATTGTGCATATTATCCCACAATTTAATTTGCATTCTCTGTGGTTTTGCAGAGGTTCAAATGTTTGTTTGTAACAAGGAAACTTACGGATATCTCCCAGTGCCTCTTCGTGCCCACAGCACTCTGCAAGACGAGGCCGACAGCTTTATTCATACAGTGCTGGAGGTCAATGGTACGTTTTAGATGTACGAAGTAGAAAAGGGTCTGCCTATGTTTTTATCGAATGGAACGACCCCTGGTTACACTTTATTTCAATATAATAACTGTAAGTAACTTTGCAACTACATGTCAACTAACTCTCATTAGAGTATTAGTAGACTGTTAGGTTAGGGTTGGTAGAATAATTAGACATGCAGTGCTAGGTAGATTACTTACAAATTGTAATAACATGTAATCAATAGAAAAGTAACTAGTCTGAGTATTTTAAAATGTAATCTAATCTAATTACAAGTACTTATTTTTTTATTCTGATTACGTAATCCAGATTACATGTAATCAGTTACTACCCAGCACTGTTGACACGTACTTGCAAAGTTACTTACAGTCAGTTGAATGTCTGTTGGGGAGCATCAAAATAAAGTGTTAAAGGGGACATATCATGCTAAATCCATTTTTTTAGCCCTTAAATGCATTTTGTTGTATATTTGGAGTGTTTAGAAGTACAGAAAAGTTTAAATTATTCTCTTCAGGTGCTTCGTTTATATCTTTATATTCTGTTTTGGTCATATTTTTCAACCTGTTCCGATTTTTCTGTTCTCTATGACGTTTTTTTTAACTATTACGTCACAGTATTTGCAGCGGAACTGCCAAATAAGGACATTGACTTCCGGCCCACCACTTCGAGCAATCCGCCATTTTTATTTCTCGCTGCAATTTTGTAGTCCAAGCTAAATGATGCAGAACTTACCCATGGAACTTACCAAGGGGGTAATCCATCGACCGGAAGTTGAAGCCGGCCGGGTGCCGCCATGTTGTAGCAGAACTTCACTTGCGTTAGCATTTCCATTGACTCCCATTCATTTTGGCGTCACTTTGACAGCGAATAACTTTACATCTGAGGCGTTTAAAGACTCCATTTGTCCATTATTTATTTCTAAAGAAACACGACAATGTATAAAGGGCTCCATTACCTTCTATGTCACATTATGGCCCCGTAGAAACAGTTTTAGTAAAAATAGGCTAACGATTGCGTCATAACCACTCGACTCTCTATCGCGCTGTACAGAAATTACCGTACAGACAGGAGGAGAAGCTCGCAGGCAATCGGGGGGACGTCCCGTCAAGGGAGAAGCCCATAGATAATGAGTCCATAAAAGCAACGGAATACTTACTCCTGCTCACTCACGCCAAAGAACTCTTTGCTCAAGTTCCCCGTCTCTGCAAGATTAACGTTGGCAATTTTCACGCACAGCTACTAGAAGATTAACGTCTGTCAGACAGGTTGCTCACGTCATCAAGCTTAGTTTGAGTCGGTTTGAGTCTGCGCGTCAGGAACGGAAGTGCTCAAAAATCGCTAAAAATGGGCTTCAACTGTCTCAACTGAGTTCCAATGAGATGGCTCTGTCCACTTCTTATACTGTCTATGGAACTTACGAGAGGGTAAGTTAAAATGTTCGGTTGTTGGATGTAGTAACCCACACGCTTCATTACACCGTCTAATGTAGATGAACTGCCGTGCTTGTGTTGTGACAGGGCGCATGTTTAACTGAAAATGGGACCCGGTCGCGCGCGCGCACTCTCTCTCTTCGGAGCCAGGCGAAAGTGTAAACAAGACTTCACCGTCTCCAAACTAGGCGCTGTCTTGCTCTCTCTCCCTCGCACATATTAATCTAAATAAATCGACACGGTGGTAAAAGGTCGGAAGACCAAAGTTTCATGTGTAGCGCTAAATACAGTAACATACCATTGCGATACATCCATATGAAGACGTTGTTCTGCAGGTTCGTCGTCTTCATTTCCATCTCGCTCCGACTCTGGCTAGAACATGTAAGGCTGGCTGGACAAGTCTTCCGTTGTTGACATTTTGTTAATAACATGTGCATAAAACGTTTATGTGCCGCTAGATAATCGTATCTCTGCTATCAAACTACAAAAATGGCCGAACGGGGTGGAGTTGAACCGAGTGTCACCGCTACAACCTGGTATGAAGTGTCTCAATTGTATTTAAAGAGACCGCACCAAAACGAGTTGCTCTCAGACGCACATCAGAAAAGGGGTAGAAAAGGGGCCTGTGGAGCTATAATAATGAGGAATTCAGACCCAAGCATTGCAGTTCCGCTTTATATAGACTACAAATGTATGATTTATATGTAAAAAGGAACGATTTAAAAGCATGATATGTACCCTTTAACATATATAAAGCAGACAGTCTACTAATACTCTAATGAGAGTTAGCTGACATGTCATTGCAAAGTTACTTGTAGTTAGACGAATGTCTATAGTGGACCAATGAAATAAACTGTTTTCGTTTACAGTGAGAAATCCTCCAGTTGAGCCCTCCAGATACTTGGCCAAACCTGTCAAAAACCCTGACAAAATGGGCTTTGATGAGGTAACTGGGCTTTTCTTTCATCAAAATGGGTCAATTTTAACGATTAAATGGTTCTTCTTTGGTGACGTTGTATTCATTGAATGCTTTTCTGTGTTTTAATAGGTGTTTATAATCAACCTGAAGCGACGGGACGACCGCCGTGAGCGCATGCTGAGGGCTTTGAGAGAGCAAGAGATCGACTGCAAGATTATCGCTGCTGTTGACGGCAAGTAAGTTCACTTCTGTTACCGTCAAACAAATGCAGCGTTCATATCCGCGACAAAACATTAGCTCACAGCCTCTCCTTCTACACCAGAGCTATGAACGAGAGTGAGATCAATGCTATGGGAATCCACATGCTTCCCGGCTACAGTGACCCGTACCACGGCAGACCTCTCACAAGAGGAGAGCTGGGCTGCTTCCTGTCCCACTACAACATCTGGAAAGAGGTCTGGCACACATACCAGTTCATAGTGATCTAGTGAGTCGCCTAGCTGACTCTTATGCTCAACCAAGGCTGCATTTATTTGATCAAAAATACAATTTTCTACTCTCTTAATTTAAAATGTATTCCTGTGATCAAAGCTGAACTTTCAGCATCATTACTCCAGTCTTCAGTGTCACATGATCCTTCAGAAATCACTCTAATATGATGATTTGATGCTCGAGAAACATTTATGATTACCATCAATGTTGACAACTATGTTGTTTGGCTATGAACAAGGTTGCTTGTTCTTGTTTCAGGGCAGCGTAACGTTGCTACCTACATCTTGGAAGAGCCTTGTGTTAATAATCTCGAATAGGTAGACCGCTCACTGGGTTTTTGGAGAGAGTGTGAAAGTAGAGTAAGGGTTTTTGTGAGCATCTGTTTATGTGCTGTGCTACGCAGATTGTAGACAGAGGCCTGAAGACCTCGCTGGTGCTTGAAGATGATTTGCGGTTTGAGATTTTCTTCAAGCGACGCCTGCAGAATTTAATGAGTGAGGTCGAGAGTAAGGGTCTGGACTGGGACCTCATGTGAGTGGGTCTACTTTCATTGACTCACTTTTTGGTTCATGTATTGATGGGAGATTGTTCATATTGCATGTTGAACCATTGCAGTTATATTGGGAGGAAGAGGATGCAAGTGGACCGGCCTGAAAAAGCAGTACCGAAAATTCGCAACCTGGTGGAGGCGGACTATTCCTACTGGACCTTGGGTTACATGATGTCATTGCAAGGAGCCAAAAAGCTCCTCAAAGCAGAACCACTCCGTAAAATGTTGCCTGTGGATGAATTCCTTCCTGTAATGTTTAATAAGCATCCTGTGTAAGTACTACAAATGGAGAAAACCCTCTATACATCCCATACATGCCAATAACATTGCTTATAATTCTAGCTAAATTATTCCTAGATCATCTTCTAGCAGAATACAATTTTTTCATGGTGCTGTGATTTATAGTCTAAAGCGAGTTTTATAGTGTAATTGATGTCAGTCAATCAAAAACGCAGAACGCTAAAACCAGTGCTTAAAGGATTAGTTCACTTCAGAATTAAAATTTCCCGATAATTTACTCACCCTCATCCAAGATATTCATGTCTTTCTTTCTTTGGTCGAAATTAAGGTTTTTGAGGAAAACGTTCCAGGATTTTTCTCCATATAGTGGACTTCAATTACCCTGGGAAAACCCAGACAACTTCCGGCAAATTTAGATTTGCTCTGAAAGTTAGTCTGGCAAAGAGCTCATTCAAGCCCATTTCCAATCCGTCGAAATCGAGGCACCAATCAGAAACGTTGGGGCGGGCTTTACACGATGACGACAGCGCTGGGATTTTAAAGCAGATTTTGTAGCCTACATTACAAAGATGGATGCCGCCGTCGAACATCACTCGTTCGAATCAGCTATCGCGTCTGTTTTAAGCGATTTGAACGTTTCCTTTTTGTTAAAAACCGTGCAAAGAACAACACTCGGAGATGTTTCTCCGCCCGCTCTGCATACGTCATCTCCTTCATCGCTCTGATTGGGTTTAGGTCTATCCGCGACATCCGTTGGTGACGCCCCTCTGATAATGATTTGTCTATGACGCTTTGCCAGACCATAACTCAGTTACAACTGAGAATGGTCTGGTTTTAACCAGGCTAGACTTAATGGGTTGAAGGTCCAAATTGCAGTTTCAATGCAGCTTCAAATGGCTCTACACAATCCCAGCCGAGGAATAAGGGTCTTATCTAGCCAAACCATCGTTTTTAACATTTATATACTTTTTAACCACAAATGTTCTTCTTGCACTATAGCTGTGATGCGCCACACATCACATAATCGTGCGTTGAAAGGTCACACGTGACGTAGGCAGAAGTACCGACCTAGTGTTTACAATGCGAACATGCAAAGACTAAGTCAAACACCCTTTACAAAAAAAAATAAAAGGTAAAACAATGATGTTGGACGAGTTTTTTTTTTGAGTTTTTCGCCTACCCTACCTTTTTGAACCGGAACACGCATGACCAGCCGTGTGGCGCATCACAGCCAGTGCAGGACTAGCATTTGTGGTTAAAGTATATATATATTTATTTTTGTAAAATGACGAATGGTTTGGCTATAAGACCCTTATTCCTCGGCTGGGATCGTGTAGAGCCATTTGAAGCTGCATTGAAACTGCAGTTTGGACCTTCAATCCGTTGAAGTCCACTATATGGAGAAAAAATCCTGGAATGTTTTCCTCAAAAAAACCTTAATTTCTTTTCGACTGAAGAAAGAAAGACATGAACATCTTGGATGACGTGGGGGTGAGTAAATTATCAGGACATTTTAATTCTGAAGTGAACTAATCCTTTCATTTGTAAATGAATAAATGGCGGATTTAAATAAATGAATAATTTTCATATATCATGATACGTTTTGCTTTTGTCTAATATAAGATCTCGGTCTTCATCATCTTCACATCTAATATCATCACCTTCAGATCAGATTACATGGAGCAGTTTGAGACGAGGGACCTGAAAGCGTTCTCAGCTGAGCCCTTGCTTGTGTTCCCTACGCACTACACGGGCGAACCTGGGTACATCAGTGACACTGAAACCTCCACGGTGTGGGACAATGAGAGAGTGCGCACAGACTGGGACAGGAAGCGCTCGGGTAAGACCCGGGAACAGGCTGAGATCAGCACAGAGGCCCAAAACTCAGATGTGCTCCAGTCTCCTCTGGACAGGACGGCCCGAGATGAACTATGAGAGACATTGTTTTGGACTTGCTTCTGGGGGACGTTACACCTTAAAAGCACAATATGAGTGAGCAGCAGATGAGGCCCTTTTAGAGATTTCTTTTTTATTATTGTTGTTTGCCAGAAAAGAAGTTGAGCTTAAACCTTTGTCCCTTAATTTGTAGATTATCAAATTGGTAACTAACCATGAGCACAGCACCTGTTCATGCTGCGATTAAAGATGCCAGGTGTTTGAAAAACAGTTTATGATTCTCTTCAGTAACACATTATAGTTAGGTTCAATACAAGGTTCAATTTGTTTACATTAGTTAACTGGATTAGCTTAACAATAAAAAAACAAAAAAATCTTTTAAAGCATTTATTATCTTTGGTTAATCAAAAAGTTGTATCAGTGCTTATTATTTAAAGAGGACATATTATGTTTTTTTTTTTTACATGTTTAGCTTTCTTTAGTGTGTAATGTTGCTGTTTGCGCATGAAAAGGTCTGCAAAGTTACAAAGCACAGTCACTCCAGAGGGAACGCACACGTCACAATATTCCTCATTTAAATAATTCCCACCCAAGGCATACTCAAAGTAAAGGTAGCCTGGCGAGGCCTGGTTGAGTTGAGTTAGTAGTGTGTTGTGTGATGTTTACCAAACACGCTAAAGCGGTTGACCAATCACAACACACTTAGTCCAGCTGACCAATCAGACCACAATGTGCTTTTCATAAGGAGGGGCTTCATAGAGACAGGAACTAAACTGAGCGTTACTGACAGACTGGGTAGAGAGGTGCTGCAACAATGTAAAATTTGTAATAAAAAATATATTATGTGTTTGTTTTTTTTACATTCAAGCATGAAAACATTCTAGTAGAGCATAATAACTAAATCATGATAGGTCCTCTTTAATAGACTTGAGCTGACATGTACTTACAATGAACTAATGTTAACAAAGATTCATAAACACTGTAACAAATGTATTGCTCATTGTTTGTTAATGTTTTAACTAATGTTAACTAATGGACCTTATTGTAAAGTATTACCTTTTAATCAGTCTGGGTGGAAAAAGCTGAAATATGCACATTAAGCTTCTTTTTTTTTTTTTTTTTTTTTTTTGCAGTGTTCACATTCCAGACATGAACATAGTCATTTTATTAATAATAATAATAATACTAATAAAAGACACCGCATGTTGCTATTTTAAGGCATGAAGCATGTTATATTAACATGAAGGATGTTGTTATTTTTAGGCCTTGATACCATTACCACCTTTGTTGGCGTTTCAGGCTGTCACTTCCCCTCATCAAAGCCAACATCCGTACACACGCCTCACTCTGTGGTTTTGCTGTCGTATCATCAGGACAGAAATGAAAGGTCTGCACACATTCCACACGGCAACATCGGTCTTCGCTTCTTTGCTTTTTTTTTGCCTAGCAGGCTTCCAATGTGAATCCTTGCGAATGCGCTGTTTAGTCACTGTCATACTTATCAGTATGTATGTAACTGTAACTGTGACTGTCTCTGTATTTCACCAACTGTGCCTTAAATATAAAGAATGGTTAAAAACGTGTCACTGAAAGGAATATTATGTCTCTCTTTATTTTTTGGTGGAATTGTTAGATGGAGGCTGCATGTCATTTCTGTAGAGATACTGATTGTCGTGACCATTTAATTCGACATCATATCAACATCTATATCTATCTTCCAGGGTTAATTATATCACAGCTGCGTAGCCACAACACAAAAATGATGATGCTGGCATAGGCTTACAAACCACTATCCTGCATGCTGAATGAAGAGAGATGATCTTGGGTAAATTTAGCTTGAACACTTGATTCTGAACCATTTGTAGCATATTTAACAGGGGTTTCCCATGCGTATTATACCAGTGCCGTGAAGCACAACAGAAGCCACTATGATGTTGCTTGACTTTGTCAGACTGAGTCCAAAACAAAAAGTGTTTATCCGTTAATTTGTTAATTCAGTTTTTCAAAGCATGCTTGTGTATGTTGTATTGAGACTATGTTGTACTGAAATACGTACCTGTGTCACTAAACACTTTAACTTTGAATCAAATAAAGTAAGTGCTGTACAGAGCAAACTCCAGAAAACATAAGAGTTACACTACCGTTCAAAAGTTTGCCGTCTGTAAGATAATATAAGAAGTCTCTTATGCTCAGCAAGGCTACATCTATTTGATCAAAAGTACAGTAAAAACCGTAATGTTCTGAAATATTATTATTACAATTTAAAATAACTCTATTTGAGTATATATTAAAGTGTAATTTATTCCTGTACTGCAGAGCTGAATGTTCAGCATTACTCCTGTCTTCAGTGTCACATGATCCTTCAGAAATCATTGTAATATGATGATTTGGTGCTCAAGACACATTTCTTATTATCATCAATGTTGAAAACAGTTGTGCTTCTTAATATTTTTGTGGAAACCAAGATAAAAAAAAATGTCAAAGACTCTTTGATGAATAAAATAGCAACATTTATTTTAAATAGAAATATTTTGTATGTTTACTGTCACATTTGATCAGTTAAATGTGTCCTTGCTGATTAAAACTATTGATTTCTTTCAACAACAACAAAAATCTTATTGACCCCGAACCTTAGAACAGTAGTCTATGAGTAATTATGATTCATATGTGTTTCAGAGTTCAGTTATCTGTAGTTTTGGAGCCCACCTGGAGCTGTGAGTGTTTTCTGCACAAACCCACCAGATCACCAGGTCAGGAAAAATATATATACAAAAAATGTTTTTAAAAATAATGAATGTGTTATGTATTCAAAGTGTAAGAAATAATGTTTTTTTGCCCTACTTTGTACTTAATGGTCACAGCACATTACATTTTTAGAGTCATTTTAAATATTTATTGACAATATATGAAACCATTTTCCTAGGTGTATATGTGAGTGAAAGTGAGTCAGCTCTTCTTCCTGTGCCTCAACCACCATCAGCCAATAGGGGGCAATGATGTGAGGTTGAATTTCATTGGCTGAATACTAAAGCCAGATTCTAGCTCATTTACTACTGCCTCAAGGGTGTAACTGCATAATCAGTGTTGGGGGAAACGCATTAAAAGTACAGGTTATGTAATCAGATTACTTTTTCAAGTATCAAGTATCTCTTTTAAATGGACAGTTTTCAAATAAGTAACTTTTATGTACCATTTATTGACTGACAGCTCTCTTGTCCCCATGTTGAGATAAATCAGGAGAAAGTACGGGGTTGTGTGTTCTGTGTGAACATGATGCTTATTGACTTTAGATAAACATTACATTTGTGTCTCATTTTTACTGCTTAAGTAAGTGTTGAACAGGAGTGACTTTGCATTTCCTTCAGCCTGAGGCTTATTCAAGTCACTTTTGGTGTGAAACGGCCTTTACATTAGCCAAAAATAAAACATTTGTTTTTTTGAAAAAAATAAAACATTTGTTTTTTTGTTATTAAAATACAAAAAAGCAAGCCTAGCCCAGGTGAGAAAAAGTAATGTAATGCATTACTTCCCATAAAAACTAACTAAGTAACACAATTAGTTACTTTTTTAGGGAGTAATGCTCTATTGTAATGCATTGCATGTAACTTTCCCCAACACTGGGTTACAAAAGTTCATAATATTTCCCATTTGGTATGCCAAATACAGAAAAACGTGATAGCAGTGATGTTTAAAGTTGCTGCACAAACACAGTATTTCCAAATTCAAGAGCCTTCGATAGGCCACAAACACAAAAATCACACGAAAAGAAAAAAATGACAAATGCAGCCACAAAATACCGGCAATATCTCAGGCCTTAGCAGAAGTTGGGGGTGTTAGGTGTGTCTGAGAGTGATAGTGAGACAAACTTCCTCCTCATACGATGGTGAAAGAACATTGGCCAACCTCCACTTTAGAGGAAGAGAAGTGGCGCTGTGAGAGAAGAGAGGGCAGTTATCAAACCCCACACCGCCCGTCTTCGCGTCCTGCGTCAGTGTTGGCCTGTGAAAGGTGATGATTCTGGCAGGGCTGGGTGGACTAACTGCTGGATGACAACACGAACACGTCTCTTGTGAGCTGCTGGTTTTTCAGTAGAGACTAGATGGAGGAGGCAGCAGAGACGGCACAGCTGAGGCAACCAAAAGTCCAGGGTGAGTTACAAACAGACGTCGAGGGGAAATGTGGTGTTGTTGTTGTACCCCACCACAGCTTTAGGCTGTGCATATGTGTGATTTATTAGTTATCTTGCTCTCTTTCTTTGGATATGCGTGCTTGTGTGTTTGTGTTGCATGCAATGTTCAGTGCACTTCCTGTCTTGTTCAATTTGCCTTTGTGCAAAAGTTGCATCTCAAGGAAGGTTTCATGTGCACCGCATTTTAAAAAAAACAAAAATTTTGGGACAATTGTACAAAATGATTGCACCTTGGGGTCGTATTGTTTCTTTCCACATGTAAAATAAAGAAGGTAAATGATAAAAAAAAAAGACAAGATTTTATTTTTGGCATGGTGTTTCGGGAAGTTTTTTGTTAATTTACTTTTATTTATTTTTAATCTCATAAATACATAAAATGTATAACTTTAATGAGCCCGGGATGTGGAAATAAACAACCTAAATCAGACCTCAGTGGGAGGAAGTCACATGCACTGGTTTCAAGCAATTTGTAATAGCTGCAGTTCTTCTCGTTTCTACCACACTGAGTATCACATGACATTTAACAATATCATTTTTGCTATTAGTATCAGATTTAGAATGTAACGTTCTATATAACAACTAACAGCATAACGTGACAACTGGCAGGGCCATCTTTGAGATGATTTGGACTTCCGGTGGGTGATTTTTCTCAAGCAAAATGGAGATTAAAAAAAAAAATCTTAATCCATACAGTTGAACTAATCTCTTCATGAAAAACAAGTCCTTATTGTCCCTGTAGCAGAGCATGTTAAAAACCCCTTTACAGGATGTGGTTGACCTACATGGTGCATGTCACAGAGAGAAAGAGAGATGACGGTGATGCTTTCTTTGTTAGTGCAGTGCAAGAGTGGCACATTGCAAGTTTAGACCCATAGCATTATGAGCATTCAAGCCTTCAGAGAGTCCATGAGTAAAAAGCACGTCGAAACTTTAAACGATCTGAATCGATGCCGTAATTTACCTGTGCTTTAAAATACCAGATGAAATGATCTGTGCGAGGTGATTCATAAATACTTTATTTTAATGTT